TCCATCTACAGATTTTTCCCTGACCTTCTTTTCTCTGTAAATTAAGGGTGCACTGTATTGCTGAAAAACACAAACACTACTTAGCAGTCAGATGCCAGTATGCACAAAGGCACAGATCCCTAAACAAGGCCATATCGGCAGACGAAACTTTGTTTGTAGAAGCATTTTTTTTATTTGAACTAGCACCAACTACACCACGTTATGTACGAGAAGCTGCAAAAGACACAGGCGCAAGTGGAATGTACAAAACATGGTGACATTCATTTTTAAGTAAATATAATGGGCGATATATTGCATCACCAAAAATGATTGAGGTCATGCACATATTGCGCGATAAGTCGATATATTGATTATTGCGACAAGCCTATTCATCACAAGATGCCTTGTTACATAATCAAAGTCAAACAAAAAGCAAGAGAGAAGAGATATGGATAAGAAAGAGGGAGAACCACAGGATATGTGAGACTAATTGAATCGGTTTAGTTTGTTCTCTATGCTTAACGTGTGTAAAGTCTGTGTGTATTTGCAATGAGGCTGCAATGATTTGCCGGAAACACGGAAACTTTGCTGTGACCTGCACCTTGAAAACGCATCACCGCTCCCGGCCAATCAAAACGTGGCATACTATCAGCACTGATAATGCTTGAGACTGTCATTCTGCGGAACCATGGTAACGATTCTGTTGTCATGACAGCAGCATGAGTGTCCATGGATAGAAGCAGCGTCTTCCTCAAATAGTCTGGGACAGTGTCCAGATTTAAAGATGCTCGTTTCAATAACAATGAATAAAAATGACAAGAAACTTTTAAAAATGTAATCTATGAATATAAATAAATTTTCATCTATGCACATGAATAAACATACAAATACTGAATGAGACTGAATAAAGAAAAAAGACTGACTTCACAATTCTGACTTTTTTCTCACAATCAATTCTAAGTTTATATTTCACAATTCTGACCTCTTTTCTCAGAAGAATTTTCCTCAGAATTTAACTTTTCAATTGCGAGTTTATATCTCACAATTCTGAGAAATTCTTTATTTCTCAGATCTGCTCATTTATATCTCGTTAAAGTTTATAAAGTAAAATAAAGTAAAAGTTTGATTATTAATTCAAAAACTTAAGGCCTTACAAAGGCGTTTCATATTCTATATCTTTTAGAGGAAAACTATACTAACCATGATTTTATTAACTATAGTATTTTGTCAGAAAAGCACCATTTTTTAATATATTTCCATTTCAAACATTAGAGTATTGCCACCTTTGCCATGCAAATACTACAATTAGCATAGTACTATAACTATGATTTCATGGTTTTAACTAAATGTTTCATGCTTACAAAAAACCTACTACAGCAAATCTACGGTTACCACCCAAAACATTTTTCATTTGTTTATCACTGTTAATTTTTATATGGGTGGTTTTTATGCTTGTACTGTATGTACAGGTAATTTCATAAAAGTTCAGGTTGTGGTTTTAATCCTTCGCTGAAAAAATTATTCATTGAATTTACTAAATGTTTTTAAGGTAAGTGGCTGCAATCAATTTATTTTAGCTACATTTAAATAAACAAATTTAGTTGACTAATTTTCAAAAAAAATTATTTAAATGAAGTTCAGGTTGTGGTTTTAATCCTTCGCTGAAAAAATTATTCATTGAATTTACTAAATGTTTTTAAGGTAAGTGGCTGCAATCAATTTATTTTAGCTACATTTAAATAAACAAATTTAGTTGACTAACTTTCACATTTTTTTTTTAAATGTAGCTAAAATAAATTGTTTGCAACCAATTACCTTAAAAAATGTAGTATCATTTTTTCCAGTGTTGAACAGCCACTCCTTGATCTTCTTAAGTCTGTTCTCAACACTCAAATGGACTCTGGATTACAGCGGAGGTGTCTGAACAGTACTCTCGCCTTTATTCACGTCTGGTTTTATGTATTAAAGGATGCTATTGTTCCAGCACTCTGCTTTTGCCCGGTCAAGCTTTTGATTCGAAATGTCTGTCCAGGAATCCTATATGCTTCCTTCCCCTCCAGGACCTGGCGCTCTGCCTTCAGCCAAAGAGACGAGAAGTGTAAGTGCGTTTTAAAGAGACGAAAAAAAGACGACACTGATTGTGTCTTACGTTCTGGGGGAAAGTGCAGAAATATTTGTCTCCATGACAGCAAAGGTAGGAGTAGAACTAAAGCGCACACGTGCACTTATACAGTACTTACATAAGTCCACTTTGTGCTCAGTTTAAACAAATGAGTCTGTTTCGTCAGGCCTACTCGTACTGAGTTTGAAGAAAGAGAGATAGAAAGAGACTGAAACATAAAATGACTTCATGGATAAAATATGAAAGAGGAAGGGTCAGAGAGAGAGAAAGAGAGTGAGAGAGTTGTGATATAACATTCTGGCACACTGGGCCACTAATGAGTCTCCATCCAGATATGTTAACAAATACTCAGTGAGGATTAGGATTAGGTTTGATCTCCAGTGAAGTTTTTTAATGGGACGTAATAAGAGAACGAAGGGTTATTATGGAGCGGTTTACTGGGGTTTACTCTTTTGAGTTCTTCAAGGATAAGGCTAAATTAAATTTAGGATGATTTATAGTGAAAGACAGGTCTTAATGTTCATATTTTCACAGCAGGACACTCAAAATGTGTTTTACAATAAACCAATTAAACAATTTAAATAACGGAAATGAAGCTGAAATAAAATATAAATATAAAAATAAATATAAATTGTACATGAAAAACGTAAAGTAAAAGAAACTATTTGAAATGTTGCCTTGGCAACAAACTGAAATAAAATAAGTTTAAGTACTAAAATTACTAAAACATAAACTGAAATAAATACTGTATAAATAGTATAAATTAGAAACAAAACAAATAGAAATTACGAAGAATTACTAAAGTGTTATTCAAACTCAAATGAAAACTGAAAATATAAAAATAGGCAAATATAAAATATAACAATACTTGAATAATATATAAATAACACCGTTCCTGAATACACTGCATGATTTAGTATCAGTCATGACTGTAGCACAAATGGTGTGGGATGGGTTTATCAAAGATGATTATTTTTTTCAAAAAATTTCAAAATTTCTAACCAATAGCACAGCGTTTAAAATTCAACCTCAATTTCAGATAAAATAAATTCCATTAATGTGAAATTATTGTACACCCACAGATTGTGCATGAAATCAACTAAATCAATAAAAAAATATCGTAAATAAAAACAAACGTGCATTTTTAGGACATTAAAAAAAATGTCTTCAGGGTTTCTTTTTTTAAATTTTCTTACACAACAGCATTACTGTTTCTCTCATGAGGATCCTCCCCCTGGTGATCACTTGATTACGTCAAAGTCTGTGGCCCTTAAATGATGCCATTAAACTCATAAAAGATTATGCAACACTGGCAGAATGCACAGGTTTTAGTTTTGCTTGATCAGGTGCCTGGTGGCACCGTGGCAAATGTGCCCGGCCGGCACTTGCGTCCTCACTCAATTAGTGGTTTGGAGTATTTGTAGTTCTCATGGCAAAACCTACCCACAGATCTCTGCTCAAACACGACTACACAGTGTACAGGCACTGATGCTGTTCCCGACAGGTCACTATGTGGTAATGGAGCAGTGCAATTCATTGGTCAATTATGTCACGCCAGTGAACACGGCAGCTGGAGGAACAGGAAGTGTGTCAGCTGCTGAATCAGCAAAACTCAGCAGCACAATTTACATGGGGCTTCTATCAGTCTCTCTTTCAAGCAAGAAAATGTTGAAATACAAAACCGGTTGCGTCGAAGCAAGTCACAGTTTTGTTGCTGTTCAAATTCCACAGTAAAGCCATTGTTGCTTTTTCACTGAAGCGTGTGACGGCAAACAGGAATAAAAATTAACCAACACAGGTGGTATGGTATCGGGTGATAAGAGAGAACATTTTTGCTCTATGTGAGTCTTGAGTCACTTATAAGGTTAGAGGTTAAAGATTTTTATGTCAAAATACATTCTCTTACCTTTGTTTATTGTTCATTGACTATAAGTATGCCATTCATGGGTTTATATCCCAGAAAAGTGTAAATGCCAAGCTCTGTCATGAAACTCTAGATTGCGCAGGCTGATGGGTCATTAACGCAAACTGATGATATTCACTGCATTAAACTACTTGGCACAAGCTGATTGGTTCATGTTGCATATGCAGCCAATGAGCTTACTGCTTTACATTTAAATGGCTGGTTAGCATTCACTAGAGCCTTTCGCAACACGCTTTCAGAGTTCCTCTGAAACCCTCCACCTCCCCAGCTCCACCTGCATAGATCTGCTACAGGTTATCATATATGCTATTTGTGCAGCAGCAGTATGTCTTAAATACTCACAGCACTGTATCGGCATACGTACTGGCAGTAGCAAGTTCCTGCACTTGCTTTGCAGCAGCAGCAATAATCTACAACAACAGCAATAACCAACAGCAGCAGCTATTCTGCAGCGTAGCGGATCTATTCCGCCAAGACCAAATACATTAACATTGTCATATCCATTACCATGCTAAAATCTGAGTTGTCATGATAGAAATATTGAGCCTCCAAGGAACCTCAAATCATTTAAATGCGGTCCACTCAGTTCCGTCAATCTCTTTCCAGCTTAACCAATCGCAAGAGTTTGGGGGCATGGCTACTTTAGCAGGCTAAGCCAGATGGTGTTTAGCCGGTGTGTGAACATGGCGTATGTGTTACATGGGAAATTAAATACAGATTTGGTTACAGAAGTGCAAACCAAAATTCAGAAACTTCGAGGAACTGCAAACCCTGACTTTAGAATCCAAAATGGCTGCTCGTTGCGTCAACAGTAAGTGAAACAGTAATATGTTTAATTTTTAGGTGAAATATTCCTTTAATCCACCAATGCATGAATGGTATTAAGAACTAGAGAATAAAATGTTCTTTGTGTTCTAATTGGAAATAATTTGACTCTAATTATGAATATAGGGATGTAACGATTAACTGCGAGCCGGTTGAAAATTGATTCAAATATGTGACGATTCAAATCGCTTGAGATGTTAAACAAATTGCGATTCAATTAGGGGTAGGAGTTTATATGAATGTATGTCTGAGGGGAACTTACTGTCTTTAGAAAAGTTTAGATGGTATTTTTTCTTTTCATCTTGCCTCTGTATAATGCATATTAAAGTTCGTAAGTTCAGCGCTGCTTTGTTTACAGCGGAAACCAGGAAACGGTTTAAGCGCCACCTGCTGGCAGAGAGTGCATCTGCATCTCATTCGGTTTTGCTGTTTCATGCAGATATTTTTGTTTATAGTTTCACAAAACTGAAGTCAAACCATTCTGTTTTTGCTTCAAATTTCGAAACTATACAATCTAATTTAGTTTAAAAACTGCTCATGTTGCATGTATGCAGCATCTTTGTTTGGATCAAGATTAAAATGCAGTGGTTGCCTCTAATTTTAAAAGGAAAGAGCACAGACAAAGCCTTATTTTGTTTATATGAAGATATTTATTTTATTTGTTACTTATTTATTTGATTTGGGGCTTGTTTTAAAATTTCAATTTAGTTTTGTTATTTACATTTAAATTATATTTAAATTTTGTAATTTAGCAGATGCTTTTATCCAAAGCGATTTACAAATGAGGACAATAGAAGCAATCAAAACCAACAAAAGAGCAGTAATATGTAAGTGCTATATTAGTATATTATTATAGTATTATATTTCAATTTCACAAAAAAATGTGCAGCATTTTGTCCAAGCAATAATAAAAGGACACATTTAATTTATCATTTGTCTTAAATCTAATTTTGTTAAAAAAATTATAATAATCGTGAATCGAATCGAATCGTGAAATCAAAATCGTGAATCGAATCGAATCGTGAGTTGAGTGAATCGTTACATCCCTATATGAATAGCATAATTTTTCTGCAGGTCAAGGCAGGACAGAGAAGAATTTGAACTGGATGATTCCAACTAGGGAGAGGAACAGGTGAGAAGAGACAAGCTACATGCTAATGAGAGTTATCACAACCAGTGAAACGAGTAATAAAGAACCCTGTCGACATGACAAACTGACCACAAATCCCCCAAACCATTCTCATATAACAGGCTTTATCCAAACACACACACACACATATATTGTGTCAGGCACTCAAAATAAAGGTTTGCATACAGCCACAGGATAACTCGCAGTATTTGCTCCCGGCTGCAGTTACAGACATGAAGATCAAACAAAGAGCTCGCAAGCCTTCAGCCAACAGTTCGATCTGATGAATGCCAGCTCGTGTTTCAGTATTAAAGTCCAGTTTGATTTACAACAACTTTTGGCAGGGTGTATGTGAGAGGAAGATGTGCAGAGCAGAAGTAGGTCACATGTGTTCAACATGATTAATGACAGCTAAAAATAACATCTTCTAGCCAAAGAAAAGAGAGAGGGATGATAGCAGGATTTCAGATGAGATGAGTAGGTCACTAAGTTTGTCAGCCTCTGATACAATCAAAGGGTGATGAAATGCTTGTCATTAAACTATATAAACCTGTCATTATGTCACAAAAATCAATAGATAGATAGATAGATAGATAGAGCTATTTATTGTTTTAGAATTTAATATAGGATTTTGCAAAGTAGGATGTGTGTGTATATATATATATATATATATATGTGTGTGTGTGTGTGTCTGTGTGTGATAGATAGATAGATAGATAGATAGATAGATAGATAGATAGATAGATAGATAGATAGATAGATAGATAGATAGATAGATAGATAGATAGATAGATAGATAGATAGATAGATAGATAGATAGATAGATAGATAGATAGATAGATAGATAGATAGATAGATAGATAGATAGATAGATAGATAGATAGATAGATAGATAGATAGAACTCTTTATTGTTTTAGAATTTAATATAGAATTTTGCAAAGTAGAATGTGTGTGTATATATATATATATATGTGTGTGTGTGTGTGTGTGTGTGTGTGTGTGTCTGTGTGTGTATCTGTGTGTGTGTGTCTGTGTGTGATAGATAGATAGATCGATAGATAGATAGATAGATAGATAGATAGATAGATAGAACTCTTTATTGTTTTAGAAATATAGGATTTTACAAAATAGGTTATCATGAGGATATATATATATAGGCCTACACTTGCTGGAAAACATTTATGTATGATATATATATAGGCTATATGTGTAGTCAGGTTTTAAGTATTAATCCAATTATCTACCAGTTTTTTTTTTAAAGGAAACATACAAATATGCATTAGTTTGAAGAAATAACGTAATATAGGTGACTAAATAAACCTCTCTTGGTCGCTAGAGATACAGAAATGTCTGACACTTATGCACAACCCATTCAATACATTATAAACCAAACGCACCAAGATCAGCATCAGGATCAAAGGCATATTTAAGAAACACATGTGACTGAAATAAGCCCAAACTGTTACAGAATAACACTCTGGATGCATAAACACGGAGAATAACGTTACCTTTTCTCTGATCATGTTCCGGCAGTGGTTGCCGATGTCTGCGGTTCCGTTCATTCTGGCAAGCTTAAACCAGGCGAAGAGCTGAATCCCGGTCTCAGTGACGGTGTACTGGTCTGGGCATGTCCGCTGCCAGCTCCTTTAAGGACGATCAAGACCTGAAGGAAGACTGGAGACTCCTCCGTATCCCTCCGCAGTGCGCAAAGCTCTCCAAGTGTCCAAATTCTGCATGAACTTGCGCTACACGCCCCCTCAGCTGGCCTCTTTCTATCCGACTCCCGAGTGAATCGCTCTTGTGAACCGATTTGTGAATCACTCAACTGATGACTTCGTTTAGGGGTAACCCGTTTTTCACAGTCTATGGGGGTAACCCTGTAAGATGGAAAAATATTGTTATCAATATCGAGAATAACTAATATTAACCTCACCAATAATTAATAATATTACTATTTTCTATTATATTGCAACAAAAGTAACAAAACATTAGTAGCCTATATAGGCCTATTTATCAAGTCAAGTCAAGTCAAGTCTGCTTTATTGTCAATTCTTCCACATGTACAGCACATACACACAGAGAATTGAAATTGCGTTACTCTCAGACCCTTGGTGCATACAGGTAACACTAACAGTAGAACATAAATACAGATATACAGATTAAATATAAAATACAACTATACAAATATACAAATAAGGTAAAATGTAAAAAAAAAAATTAAAATATATATATATAAAGCAGCACACGGCACATCATATTATTTATCATATCATATTTATCCTATTATTATAAATACAAACATCACAAATATATCACAAATTCATTATTGTTTTGTTTAAAATGTCTCAAAATTAGCTGACTAGATACAGAAATGCAAAATGAAAAACGAAATCGTACGGAAACACTTTGAGAGGCGACTCAAAAGAATCGGTTCATTGAACCAATTCGCTAAAAGAATCATACTTCTCAATGGTATTCTCTTCACGAGCCACTCCCCCCTCCAAGTTTTTCTCTCTTGTCCAGACATGTTCCTCCCACTTACATATAAAAAAATTTAAGGCTCTCTGTGAAGGGCCTTGTATAATATTTCATGTACAGTGTTACATTTTTCGGTTCTTATATATGCAGACGGGGTGAATGTTTTATGACTTAACAGCTCCCAATGAAATGTCTGTGCTGAGGTCAATGGCTCATATAACCTCTAATAAAACAGTGTATTGCACCAAAACGTCTGATTAGATTTCACTATCTCTATATTTTTGCTAAACTGCTTCTGAAAAATATTTGCTCTCTTTCGATATGCATTTACTGCTTTATTTTCTAGGAAAAATAAGCATGGCTGTTCAGTCATTGGCTCGACTCGGCAATTGTCTTTTTACAGTGCATGCAAACAGGAGCCTTGAATAGAGCTGGGAAATGCTGACTGAGCGGAATGACCATCAGACGATGTGGACAGGAGCCAAACCCCGCAGGACTTTGGTCCATGGGTTCACAAAGGCGGCCCACGGGGTGCTACTAAAACATTCCTATGATCTCAGACTGATGTTGAAGAGTTCAGATGAAATGAATGCCGGCCTACATAAACTTGTGCATGCTGTGATGTTCTGTTGTTAATATGGATTGCAAAATGTCACTCAACTTCAAGTTTCCGCCTAAAGTTAAGGAGTTTCTCTTCTAAAAGCGTGACAGGACAACATACAGGACATGTTAGCAGCGCTGTAGCATTTAGTCAGCAAATTCCGGGGTGATCCTTAAACATTAAACCCTTAAACCGAGAAAATCCATATGGATCTTGGTTGAAAAAGAAACCCAAACTGACAAGTTGTCTTTTTTCTTCCCTGCCACCAGAGTTCAATTTCACCAGGCAACAACGTGATGTCATCAGGAGAGAGAGAATCAGCCAATCAGAGTGCTGACTGATCATCCATGAGGTCACAATGCAGTATCCTAGCAATGGCTAAATGGTGCTGGTGTGAACTTCCTGAGATAATCTAGTTTTATGCAACACACTTAGAAATCATGCTAGTGGATTTTGCACACATTTTACAACCCCAACACACACATCTGTTCACAGATAAATCTGCAGAAAACTCCAGTGTTATTTTAGCGCCATTGATATACAATACTTTTTCTATTTTCATTTTAATGTTAGTTAGTTTGATACATTTTCTTGTGTTTTTGTCATTTTTCTTTGTTTCATTTTTTCTTTAAATATGTCTATATATTTCTTGAGGATTTAATTTTGTTGGTTCGGATTTATTCAAATTTGTTATTTTAGTACTTCAAGTTTAGCTAAAAGAAAATGAAGAATGTATTTAGCTACAATTAAATGATATTTGATTTCATTTCAAGTACTACAGTTTTTATTTATATTTTAGTTTCAACATTATTGGTAACACGTTACAATAAGGTTCATTAGTTAACTACTTTAGTTAACATGAATGAACAATACTACTACAGCATTTATTAATCTTAAGTAATGCTAATTTCAACATTTACTAATGCATTATTAAAATGAAAAGTTGTGCTTGTTAATATTAGTTAATGCACTGTGAATTAACAAACTAAAAATGAACAACTGTATTTTCATTAACAAAGATGAATAAATACTGTAATAAATGTATTGTTCATTGTTTGTTCATGTTAGTTAATATATTAATTGATTTTAACTTATGGAACTTTATTGTAGCTTTAGTTTCAGCTCAGATTCCCCACAAAATGTATATCTGAAACCTTTTTTAAACAATTGCATCTTTGTTTGTTCAGTTATGACTAATGCACACAGACTAGGTTTATCATTAATGTAAATAGCTTGACAATTTTAGTCATTTGATGTAATACAGATATTGTGGTGTGTGTGCGGTGCTTTAAAACGGATGTAATCCTGCAGCAGGACTGCCACCCATTTCCTCCTATTCTGTGAAGGGCTGTTTAGGAAGCCACCTTTGTGTGTTTGTGAGTGTGTATCAGCCTGTATTCTAGCAATGGTTCGTTTGCTGCCAAAGGACACATGCTGTGAAGCCCATTTTCATTCCATTCAAGCACATTTCCACAAAAGTTATATGCATGTGAACGTGACCCTGCCTATATTATATTAAGCCATTAAGTTGGCCTAACTTTCCAGTAGCCTACTCACCCAGACAGACTGACTCAGTGTCTTTTTTATCAGATGAAAGATCTGTAAGTCTTTTCTGCATATTACATGTTTAGATACAGAGACAGTGGGAGAGCCTGTCAAACAAGCATTTCAGCTGTGAAAGCCTTGTGTAAACTTACTTTGACAACACCTAAATATAGTTTGATTAAATCAAACTAAATCCATTTAAATGCAAAATCAAACTCCTCAATCAAATATAACACCTCCCTTTTCTCACCCTTTTGTGTCCTAGAGCACCTTTGATTTGTCCTTTAATGTTTGATTAATGTCGCTAAGATCATTTACAGTCTTTCTGTTTATCTTTTAATTTGACATTTGCAGAACATTTTAAGTCTCATTTTATGAAACCAAACAAGAGTGTTTATTAAATTACATTGTGTAATCTTAAGCTAAATGAATACATGCTTTAAAAGTGTTAGGATATAATCAAAGTCCCTTTAAGGGTATTCTATAGTCTTTGATATAATTATGTTATCAAAATGTAATAAGGTTGAAAGTTTCAAAACATGACTTGATATTACAATAAACTAACATTGAATATACAAATACTAACTCACAAATCAGTTGTTCACTACACTGTCAGAAATAGGGGTACAGTAGGAGTCCATTTCTGTCCCCCAAGGTACAATCTACACTAATGTACCCCATAGGGCTTATTATTGAACCTCAAGGTACATGTATGTACCTTTTTGAGGGTCAAAAAGGTACATATGTGTTCCCAAGCATTAAAAGGTACATATATGTACCGTTTCTTTTAAAGGTTAAGGTACAATATCAAGAGACAGCCTCTGCTAAGCCAATTTTTTTGTAAAAGTTGTTGTTTAAAGATTTGAATGATACCTTAATTATTTATGGTAGATAAATAACTTAGGCTACCACTATATTTGAGTAGCCTTGAAATAAAAGAAATAAAAGTTTTGTAAGTCAATTTTCTGATATTAAATCATTATAATAAAATTATCCAGCTGATGAAATTATGATATTATATTGATTATGTAAATGAAACACAACACACATAAACACACAAATGGCTGATTCTCACTGTTATAGTGTATTTCATCAGAAATATATTTGCATTGCATAGCATGAGAGCGGGAACGGAGACAGCCCTGATTGGCTGCTTGAATCTCAATTTAAAAGAACTTACAGTTCGCGGTCTTTTTTTTCGCGGAGACTCAGCACGGCACGGGTACTCATGGGTCTTACAGGGCTTTCAACCCAGGAGGTCCTTCAAAAAATATCAGAAGCAGGCATAGAAGTAACCGACGTCGAAGCCCAGAGATTCAGAGGTAAGTTTTTATTCAAATGCCATTTTATTTGACAAAATATTTGTGGTAGCGGGCTAATGTTACCCCGCCAAATTGTATATGTCCTCTGCTAGTGGATTATAAAGTGGATGAAACGTGTAATGTTACCGAATTTTTCCTTGGCTGGTCAGGCCATGTTTTTTAATATTAATATTATAAAATATTAGGATTACAGAGGACTTTTCAGAACTTTGAACTACGAAGGGGCTGGTGACCAGCCTCTGCCAATAACAGTAACTAGGCAAATAAATCTCCTCTACTGACTCCACCATGCCTCGTCCATACCAGTGCTCCAAATGCTCCAGGAAGACATTCACCTTGATGAAACTAATTCAGCACATAGGACTCGTTCATGCCCATGAAGCCAATTTCACTATTACATGTGGACTGAATGACTGCCAGTCAACATATACAAAATATGAGTCTTTTAGGCGACATGTATATCGAAAACACACAGACCGTGTTTTACGTCCTGACAATGATGATGACGATGGAAATACTGAGGTAGTAACACTGAGCAACAGACACCAGTTCAGACAGTGCTGGGAGTTTTGTGGGAGTATGCTGGGTGAATTTGAGAAAGTCCTGGGAAAAAGTGTGACCACTCCATTTTTATCTTTACCTGTGGAGCTGCAGAGAGCCCTGATGGTCAATCACAACCTCTGTGATGTAGATTTAACAGAGAAAGCTATCCAACGTGTGTCTGAAGTAACAGTCAACAATGTGAAGTATGCTGTCAGAGATGTGTTTGTCATAGATGTACTGCATTCTGAGCGTATTCCATTGTTTTGGCAAATCAAGTACATCTTTA